GGAAAATATTTTAACTACAAAGGTGAGTCACGAATTATAGTGACAAGTTTTGAAGTCAGGCGTTTCATATTAATATAGCTAACCGACCGACTCCAAATAAAGTTTCTCGATTGTATGCAGTACCACATTTCTAGTTCTTTTCTAAGGTTCGAATCTCAAAAGCAAAAACGGAATCGTTGCAGGATTACTCGTGTCGTGTGTATGTGTGTCACAGCCAATTTAATCTGAACTGCCCAGCAATTCTGTAAAAATCCACACTCGATTTTTTATTCATTAATGTATCCGAATTCATGTTATTGATTGTAGAAATTTTATTGATCCCATTTTTTGTATAAAAATACAAAACAAAACTGATGATTGAATATACGTATCTTAGATATTCTATACAGGCTCGTCTTTACTCATGGTGCATGGTGAAATTCCCCGTAATCAGAGCACCGCTTGAACGGGGCGCCTGTTATGCTTCAGACAGGCCTAATTTTATTCCTATGTCATTTCGAAAAACTCACTTTAGTTATGCCACGAACCAATTCAAGTTTGAGCGGATGCCGCTTTTTGAAGTAAATTCAAGCACAATAAAAAGTTTCGCACACTATATTAAGACTAGACCTGAGAGACATTAAAAAAATATTTTTGTGAAGACAAATTTCATCACAATTTCTTCAAAAAGAATTCAGATTTATAATGTCTCAATATAGAGTCGCAAATTATAACTAATTACATATTAGACAGCATTACATACATTGATAATATTCGAAGAAGAGTAGCTTAAGCCCTTTATTAAATAATTAAAGCCCAAGGTAATAAAATCTTGAACCTCAGAGATGGAGACACCTTGATATCGGCGCGTGAACCACTCTGCTATGGAGGTCATCAAATGAGTACACAGTTCATACGAAATTTTTTTCATGATAGGATCCATATATCGAGCTTATTTTGTGTATACCTACATCTTTTTTCAAATGAGTTTCAACTATTGATTGACTTCTAATTAATATTTGATCAATAATATCTTTAATGAAAAATGCTTAAAAAATCCACTGGCTGCAGATAATTAGCCTCAGACACCCCGAGGTGAGACACGAACCCACAAATTTTCGCAATCCTGGTGACTGTTCTAACCATTTAACTATCTGAGACCGTTGGATTTCAACACACCGTTGAGACTGACGAATTTTAGAGCACTTGTTACTTTTTGCTAGTAACGAAAGGATTTCCATCAATGCTCACGCATTCAGCGCAAAAAGCCGATATAAATATTTATTTAAATAATTTCAACTGTTATGTAGTCAATTTTCAGTTCTCCAGCTACATCGTAACAACTAATATGCCGACCTTGTTCTAATTTTTGAAAAGTGGCATATATTTTATCCGTAACAGGATCGCTAGAGTGTCTATGATATCAAAATTCTCGGATTGAAAACGCTTAAAACAACTTTGTGTCATTATTAGGTCGATATATTTTTTTAATTGTTCTCGTGACTTATTATTTTTTTTGTAATATTTTTTTTTTTAATTACAATGATATTGATAGAAAGAGATTAAATTTAAACTTTATAATGTCTTTTCGAGCTGCATACAAAAAGGACAGTCAATATTTTTATTATTTCAAGTTTATAGACATAAACCATAAATAGTATAAAAACTTAAAATCAAAATGCATTTGACTAAGTAAAAATGAACAGGTAAGTATTTTATTTTTATTTATTTATTAGTTATTCTATTACTATATGATGTATTAGTTATTCTATTACTATATAAAAAAAGAAAATTCTGTTTATCCTGTTACTCGTGTTTTTTATTTTACCCAAATATGTAGAAAATTATTCGGAATTTTGAAGATATGGTAATCTGTAAAACATATTTTTTAAATAATATATATACTCATTGATTTCTTATATTTTCAAGCGTACTATCCATAAATAAAACAAATTTTAAAACTCTTCATCGCGTTTGTATTTAGTTTTATTTGACGTTTCGGACCCTTTACAGGTTCCGTGTTCACATAAGAGTAAGGTGTTGATCGTCTTTTTAATTAAAATAATAGCTACCTTCAAAAACCAATACTATTGGACACATTATGATAAAAAAAAAGTTTTTGTCAACGTTTACATTTACTAAATTATTTAAAAACTACATTTGATTTATTAAAAGATTCAAGGTTCTTCATCAGATGCTTCAGGTATGTTTCTTTTGATTTTTATACTAATGCTTTCTTTCAAGTCAACTCTTTTCTTATCTCTTCGTTCCAAATGTGGTCAATGGCGTTACTCCGCAAATTCTACGTGACGAATGCATAGAAAGTAATAACTATAATAAGCAAAGCTTTGAATGAGTTATCTGACATCAACAATATTGGTAATAATATGAAAAAAATCATTGTTTCATTTTAATATACACTTGTATGATTGTTTTTGATTTTGACTAAAACAATACAATATGTATCTTATAAATCATGGAACAAATGTAATAGAAGAAGAATGCCCCTCGTACTTTTGCATGTAAACTTGAGAAAGTACCAATCTGCTATAGAATAGTTCTAGGCGTCATATTACAAATTTATCTACTACATATGAATTCAGATATAGATTTTAGAAGTTATAATATTCTATCTTCAAATACTAAATACAAAATACGATAACTATTTTTAACCTATTTTGAAATCCAAAAGAAGTAGGTTTTAAGTTCGAAGGCGATGATATTTTTTATGTATGTTCACCGATATTTCCGCCAATTATTGACCGATTTTCAAAATTTATTTTTATTTCACAGCTTAATGGACATAGATGGACCTATTTATAATTTTATCGAAATCGAATCAGTAGTTTTCCTTTTATAATAAATCAAAATACAATCTTCACTATATATTTACATAGTATGTATTGTTTTTCAACGTAAAAAAACAACGAAAATAGGTATGTTAATCGATTTCTTCTTGAATTGTGAACCAATCTCTATCAAACTAGCTGTTTCCCTGCGACTTCGCCTGCGTAAATTATAGCCTTTGTCCAACGCGTATTATGTAGCTTCCCGTAGATGAAAGACTAAGATAAATCGGTTCAACGATTTCGGAACCTATCCAATGCAAACAAACAAGCAAATCAATCGTTTCTCTTTATAATATGATTATAGGGTTATTGGAAAAAAAATATGTCGAGGAAATAAATAAAACCTTCTTTTTTAAGACTTCACTATGTTGAATATTTTTATTTATTTCTATCTATATCTATACTAATATTCTTAAGAGGAAAGATTTGATTGTTTGTTTGTTTGCAACGAATAGGTTCCAAAACGACTGAACCGATTTTAAAAATTCTTTCACTTACGGGAAGCTACATTACATCCGTTGAATACAGGCTATGTTTTATCTCGTAAAACAGCAAATATAGGGAAATGGGAGTGGAAGTTTGTAACGGTTATCATAGAACGATTGTTTATTGTTTATATTATTATTATATCTGTTTCATCATGATATATTATGAATCGATATCCAAATAAACAGATTCCTAGAGCACGCGGGCGGAGCCGCTGTCCGTAAGCTAGTATTTAATATATTTAGTGTCGTCTATTATATAAAAAATGTCACTAAAAATCATTAATTAAAATTAAAAAATAGAACAGACTTCAGAATTTAAAATAGTAATGAATAATAGTTATTCAAAAGTGACTTATTCGAGAAAATGCTATTGGAGTAGGGCGCCTATCATTTAATTAATAAACCTACAGAAGGTCTCCGCTCGACTTCAATAGCATTTTCTTGAATAAGTCGCTTTTGAGATAAGTATTATTTATCACTATCTTAATGTTTGAAGTCGGTTCTATATCTCTGAAGTAAAAAAAAAACAAGAATAATGCAGCCATACTTAGTTTCTTGCAAGTTCTTCTTACCAAAATCCGTTCAGGATACGTTCTTTCTTTTCGTAGATTTACGAACCAGTATATAGTTTTAACTTTCACAGACGCTAGACTGAATAAATACTCATTATTTCTATTAGAGCTGGTGATTTTTTTTGCTCGTCTTTACTTACCTCTTACAAGACAAAAAACACGATCTGAACGAATGGTAGGTAAAAAAAAATATTGAACGATTCGAAAGTACTTAAAATAAAGATATTTTGACTTTAACTTTGAATGATTTTCGTGGAAACTGTAGAAGTTGGTCATTTTCTATACAAAGTCCAATATTTTAAGATTTATTTTAACTGCGAGAGAAAAATGATATACAAAAATTATCTCTCAGCTTTAGTCACAATCATTTGTCATAGTTGGCGCGTGGGCGGAATAACGCCCATCCATTGAGCGACTGCCCAAAGTAATTTCCGCCCAGTTAGTTCGGGGATGAGGGTGGGATGGCAACGACGCACATCTGAACTTGTTGCAGGGGCGTCTGTCTTTTGTTTGCCGTGTCGTTTGTGATGACGCGGCCTCACGCAACAGGTTAGCTGGACTGTTTTCTCATAACCTTTTAACAGCATTTTCTCGAGAGTATTTTCTTTTAATCGTTTAGGAACACCGTTCAAATTAAATTATGCCACAGTTCTATATAATTAAAAAAATACTAAATTAAATATGTCTTATGACTACAAGTTTCATATAAATAACACAACCATAATCAGTGTACATTTTAAGTCATAATTTGTGTAGTATTTTTCTAATAAGACTAAGTGCAGAAGTTATTGTTAGGTACCTTTTAATAATTTAATTGTTTGGAGATACACCATGCTGCCAGTTTATATCATCAAATAGGTCAACTGTGACGCAAAATAGAGTATGGAAATGGATATTTTTCCATTTTAAATGAATTCGTATTTAGGTAAACAATAAAAGGATAGATCACCGTTCAAAAAAGATGGAAGAGATATAATATAAGATGTGTGTTAGCCGTAAGAAGGTTAGAAAGGACGTTTCAGGTCCAAAATACGATGTGAGAAATTATGAAAAACTAAGTTCGCTACTGAATGGTGGGCATGAGCGGTGCCGACTCTCACGCCAAACAGTTCCCACTCTGTATCGAGTCGCCGTCGTGAGTGCGTGCGCCACGCGCTACACCCGCCGAACCTCAACACTTTTACTTGATACAAATACGTCCGCGGACTGAGACACGGAAACTGTCACTTTCGTTCCAGATCCGCAATCCATTTGCAACTATGATAACACTGTGAAATTTTGTTGTGCACTCTTTGGCTTGTTTCAACAACACCACTCCAAGGTAAGATAATTTTGTACTGAATCAAAAACAAATTTGAGTCTACGTGTCAGTTTCGAAGCTAAGTGAAAGGCAAATTCTTTGTCAAAATTGGTATATGCTTAACAAGAGATAGCCTAGTTGAATATAAATTGTATTCTTGATATATACTATTACTTCTTTAGTACAACTAAGTCAGAATATGTGATACCTATCTATAATAATTGAATAGTTTAAAGGTTGACCTACATTGATTTTAATAGATCCTTGAATAAGCTTTGTTGGAACTAATCACATTGCCGAGTTTCTAAAAATTTTAATTATTTAGAAACAGAATTGATTTTTATAGTTACCAAATTACATCTATATTTTTCTATAAAATATTCTGTGTGTTTTGTTTTTATTCAAACTTTTATCATAATTTAAAAATAAAAAGACACATCCATGAATTACAAAATACATTTGAAAGTAATTTTATTTACTTGCTTTTGTTTCACTGATAATATATTTTACTATTAATAAAAAATGTATCGTAAAGATTTTGTTTAACACTATAATAATAAAGTTTTACTTCTTTACAAAGTCAAACATCGATATAAAAGTATCGTGCGATAACTAATGTTATCACTCTTTTAAATGCTTGTCATAAATCAATACACGAAGTAGGTAACATGTATACGTATATCAAAGAACATATAAAAATCAATAAATTTATTTAATAATTATTACATAATATGAATACTTTAATTCCAAATGAAATACTTAAAACCATTAAAGATGAAGATGTGAAGACTAAAGTTAACAAACAATATTACTATATTTTTTTACGGAATAGATAGCCAAAACTTCCTGATAATATTTCAAATTCTAAACGACAGAAATATATATGTTTTAAAATTAGATTTTCAAACAAAAAGTAATTGTAAATAATATGTTTATCGAAAGAAAATCGTCGTAGGTAAATAACTATAGTTCTTAATCAACTTTACAATAAATATATTTTTATAATATTGACTTATACGATCAATACATTTTCTATACATGAAACCTACTGAATAATGCAATTATTTTAACTCTAGGCAATACAAGACACACTTTATAATTTAGTGAAACATTCAGGTGTATTGTTGTTTTGAGTCTGATTCGAAGTTGAAAAGTAGAGAATTGTTCGTATATTTACTATCGTAATTTTTTTTTCAATACCAACTGTTCATACAAAAAATACCTTATTGAATATTCTGTATCGTAATGAAGGAAGATAATATACCTATATCGTAATTAATTTTATTGGGGATAAATAACGCTACAGATAATTGTAGTTATATCTTATTGTATCAATATCGAGATAGGTATTGTATGTCTATTATATTCATATTGCAGGTATCCTTATGTATATTTCTTATAAATACGTAATAATAAACACACATAATTTTGAATCTCTTTAATTTTAAAGCATTTAGGTGCAGACCAACAACATATCATGACTGCAAGTTCCATAAACTGCATTTTCCGTTTGATAATTTCTAAACATTTTTTTTATTAAGTTCTTCTGATTTTTTTTTATTTAAAAAGTATAGTAGTGTTCTCCCATTTATAGAAAGTGTCGGTTAATAGTAAAAAAAGGAAGCAATAGCAGTCTTGGAAATACTAGCGAAAGTACCTTCACTTTCGATGCTAAGAGCAGATACATCACATTGGATAACATGAAAAAAGTCGGTAGTCATCTACTCTACCTTTTTTAAGTAGCTATGATGGTCTTTAATTGTTTCATTATTAAAAAAGACGAAATTATTATGAATATTAACACTTTATTAAAATTCAATTAAATTATATATGTTTAATTGAAAAGTAATACGGAGTAAATTTTTATTTATATGGAAATAGAGACTCGAATAAGTAGTTTTATATAGGTACTGAAATAAAGTAATGAGAAGTGGTGATCCTTTAGCCTTTAAGATTTAGATTGTGTTGTGTCTATCGAGCCCGATATATATTTTGTTGGAATCATTTTCGACAGTGTTTTTTATTGTTATCAGCTCCGTTATCGTCCATGTAGAAATCCATATTTTGTAGGGATTTTCACGAGTCCTTTCTTAGCGGTTACCTACACAGTAGACAGGAGAATAATATCCTGATATCAACATATAACCTGAAGGTGTGATTTTTTTATTTTTTAGATAGTCGATCAGTGTTGCTCTCCCTATATTTCTATTATTTTAAAGAGGATAGAATTGATTGTTTGTTTATTTTCGTTGAATATCATTCGAAACTACTGAATCTATTAGAAAAAATATTTTACCATTATAATTCTACATTATTCCTAATCAACATACGAGAAACAATATTTTCAAAGACGTTAGGGATCTATGTATAAAAAATACGTCGTCTTGTTTTTAGAAAAAAAAATTGATATACTTTTATTCAAACTAATACACGCAGCTACAAATTTCATTTGTCACTATATTTATATTTATTACAAATATTTTCATCATGTTCCATATTTACGTTCGATCCATATGTACGTTTATGCAACGGAATATCATAATAAATTACGTAAGTAATTATGCTTACTTAAATGTAAATTGAATGTGGTTGCGGACGGATCGACATTCCTAAGCATTTTTTTTTCTAATAAAAATAAATGAATCTGGTATAGTTAATGTAGGTACAAAACGTATCTTTTATATTCGTATAAATTGTCCTAATTCTTTACACTCGAATTGCGATAATTCACGACCACTGCTATAATATACATATAGTTTAGTTTTTATTGGTATGGAATTACATGGCTCCCGGGAAATATCAGGGTAGAGCAGAGTGACGCGCGCACAGGCTTATGAAATTCTCAGAATTCAGTTCAATACTGCACTTGCAATTGTGCAGGGTAACGGCACCTGAATTGATAGTTTATTAATCTTGTATTATATAAGGGTTTTGGTTTTGAGTATTTAGATTATTTTAGCTCATAAAATTGTACCAAGATATGTTTAACTATTGTACCAGTAATTATGTTTTTATATTTGTTTTAACGGACTTCAAAGAAGGTAGGATTACTCTGCCAATTCTGAACCAATAAAAAGTAGTTTTTTTTATATATATTAACCGCTTTTAAAACAAGTATTATTTATCACTTTTTTAAATTTCAAATCGTTTCTATTTTTCGAAAATATTTTTATATTTAGTATAAAAACAGCTGTACGCGTCACTTTAGAAAAGTTGATCAAACTTTGATTATTTTTCTTTTTAATTATAAACAAAATATAAAATGAAACGGCGAAATAAAATTTAGATCGTTTTTACGAGGAAAAAAAAATTGAGTTATGGTTTGATTATCGACCGGTATTTTATTTCCTGTTTGAAGACTAAGATTGTATTTATGAGAAGAATAGAAAACTAATAGACTGAATAAAGATAGTCATTCATTTGGGTATATTAGTTCCTTGCGTTGTACTCAAAAAAGCTTCTCGTTTGATACTCATGCCAAGCGGTTGCTTTGGAAATGACAAATTGCCATTTTGCAGCGTCTATCATATTGAGTTTAGATTGACGTCACTTATCGTATTCCATACATCAAACCCTTTTATATGGTATCTATATCATAGAGGGTATAATGGCATAACTAGCATTTATTTAAAAGTTCAAAAAAAGAACTCGAATTAATTTCATATTAATAATGAAATTAATTCTTCAATGCTTTTTAAAGATAATATTATTTCAATAATGATATGAAAAATTCTAGCAAATACTAGCTAAAATTTATATGAAATAATATTTAAAATTACTTAATAATTCAGCTGCAAGTCAGGGTTCACGAATAGCGATCCTTGCCTTTGTCCCACCGTGAGTACGCCTATGGAGGTTACTTTAAAAATATTAATATTTGCGCGACCTAATACAAAATTATTACAGTACACTAATATTATGAAGAGAAAAGATTTGATTTATGATACAGACAAAACCGTCATACTGTATAAGTATATAAAAATAGTTTCCTATGCGATTTGATGTTTTTTTCAATAACATTTAAATAGGCTAAACGACACATTTAACAAAAACATACTAAATATAATAAAAGTTTAACAATACTATCGATCTTTGTGGTAAACCTTGGTATAGTGGGCAAACGTTGGATCGGTGATAATTAATTAATCGATTGTCTCAGCGTGTTTGATCAGCTGATCCGACTTTATTGTCAGCAACGCACAAAACATCTCATACGTATTTAATATTCAAACACAATGATACGACACGTACTTGCATTCTAACATGTATATTGAAGGGTATCTCTACAAAATAAAGCGGGAATTAAGAATAGTTTATTTTTTATTTTATATTCATGATTTTTATAATCTCAACTAGAATTCATTGACAGTTTTTTTCTTCGTTTAGTTTTACTTACTTTAGCTACTTGGTCTACAAAAACACATATATGTGATAGTGATTCGATCTTCATTATGTTATAGTTCCTCTAACTAGATCGCGATACACGATAATTCATTCGAAGCACGCACGCGCCGCCGCTTTAAACAGCATTCGATTTTTTTTTAAACAAATTATGGAAAATCTCTCTAGAATATAAATAAATATAATACATTTAATGTCGTTAAAAGGGATTATACCTATTACCTAAGTTATGCAACTGATCTACTATAGCAACAATAAAGCGATAACTGTAAGTAGGCTAACTCGGTAGCGGTATGGTGAAAGTGACCAAGCCCGAAGGCCATCTCGTTGGCTAAAGGTAGGCCTCTCACTTGCTAGCTCAAATGCGCCATCCCCCTCTATGCTGACATTGCGCAGTGTGTTATATCTACTTAAATTATGACATATAAGGTATAATATTAATATGTTCCAGGACTTCGTGGAGGGGATGAGTTTATTATACTGAACTATTTTTACTATGGGAGCTATCATACTATACTATTGGTGATTGTAGGTATTACAATTTTGTATGAAACAGTTGATTATATATCGTAAATTCAGTGTTGCTTCCATACTAAGAGTTGTTCAGTATATTTTACTTA